CTGCCCGGGGCGATCTTGCCCCCACGACTGACCGCTGCCTGGGCTGGGGGGTGGGAAGTGCTCTCCGCTTCGAGATGAGGCGCCCTCCCTTCCAGGTGGATGCTCCCGCCCCGGGCAGCGCAGGCTGACGGGCCCCACGTCGCTCCCGATGGTGGTCGCGATCCCGCGGAGGAGCGTCTCTTCACTGACCAGCATTACTTTTCCCTGGTCAAAAACGTTCCAGCCTGAAGCGGGTCAGGGAGATGGCAGGCGATGCCACGCTTCCCTGCAGAGGCGCCGGCAATGGCGCGGGGCCTGCAAGGCCGTAACACGCCCGCGGCGAGGCAGGAGCTCATAGCGCGACCTGCCCGTCTCGGACCTGCTGAGAGCGCCCCGACCCCCGTCGCTGCTGGGGCGGGCAACAGCCCGGGTCGGACAGACACCTGCCTGCTCCGCCTTTTCTTGCAAGCGTCCCAGGCCGCTCTAGGGCTGTAGCTCGTAACCGCTGCTCTGCGGCTAGTCGCGCTTCTATCCAGGAGCCAGGAACGGAGCCCGGATGCCGAACCCCAAGGCTCGTGCTATCGCTGACCTGCAGATGCAGCACGCCCGTGCGGGGGGCAGGTTAGCAGCGCTGATTCCCCCAGCTCGGGGGGCCACGGTGACCACATCTGACAGCCCCGGCGTCGAGGGTTGTGGCTCGCCATCAGAAAATCAGACTGGCCCGGCGCGTGCGCGCTCGGGGCCTGGCCGACAGGCACATCCACCGTGTTAGAGTTTTGAGAGGTGCTACGCTTTTGCAGATACGAGCTCCCAGCAATGCTGCCCCCCAAAAACAGGCAGGGGGGAGGGCAGGGCAGGGCCACGCGCCGCGGGGTAAACACAGTAACCCAGATAACCATCCGTCTGTCAGCCTGACCTTTATCCCCAGCACCCTCCGTGACTTCCACCCACTCCTGTAGCCACTCCCAAGCCTCCGGGTACCACAAACCCAGAGCGGAAACAAAATTAATCGCTTATCTCTGCATGCTGCAACCTGCAGCGCTCCTGCTCCGTGGGGATCTGGGCCAGGCTGTGCCCCCAGCCCCACACTCGGGCATGTTACCTCCTTTTGCCCCCTCCCACACCTTCCAGTCACCTGACTGGGCTTGCTGGTCACAAGGCCAAGTGCTACCAGTCATCCCAGTCTGCAGCCTGGGCCCAGCAGCCCTCGACTCTGCTGCAGCCACACAGGCTCTAGTCCCATGTTAGCTACTCACAGCCCCTCCTGCAAACCACCCCACCTGCCCTGTAGCAGGGGCCAGGGGTCCCGCTACACACGCCTCTCCTTTATGACACGACTGGAGGAGGCCTCTGCCACTATCCTTCTATACAGCAGTTGAGGGGATGGAGCAGAGCCCTAGGGCAAGACCTCCCAGCGTCCTGGCCACCAGGAAGGCAGAGCGTGCAGAGGGCCGAGGCAAATGTGCAGTGGTAGGGGGCAGCTGTTAAAATCATTTTCTGCTAGAAATAATGGGTGTGACAGGTAACATAATACGACTTCTCACACCACTGTGGCCCTGATGAAGGGTTAATGTCCAAAGAGCCCCGAAATGCGCTCTCTCCGTTCATTTTGGGCTCAGGAGCTAGTTTTCTGAATGGGTCTCTAAGGGTCTGGCTTTCTACGGACTCTTCCATGCCGAGAGAGCCCCTAGGCACTGCGACAGAGTTCATTTCTCTTTTCCCTCCTCCTGTTCTCTAGTCACAAATATTTATTAATACAAAGCCTCTAGGTGAGGAAGGTGTATCCAGGCCAGGCCCCTGCTGTTGCAGGGACCCACATCATACAACCTGGTTCATCAAGTTATGTCAAACTCCATCTTAAAACAAGTCTGGTTTTTTGCCCACTGGTCCTCTCTAAGAACAAGGACCCCTTTCCTCGCAGTGACAGCTGCTGGGTACCTGACAAGCCTGTGGGAGCCTGGTATTTTTCCAAGTCTTGCCTCCAGCCTATTTGTATTGTTTCTGAAACACGTGGCATGCACAGAGCGCACAATGCGGAGATACACGCCATTAAAACTTTTACATCTTTCAAATGACTTGCGTGACCTCAGCCCTTTCTTTTCAGTGCTCACACACGGTCATAGCAAACTCATGCTCATGAAATCTTTACACCTCACCTCACCTCATCTCTTCCCTAGTCATCTAAATGCAGGGAGTGGCAAGAGTGAAACAAGTGCCTCAAAATGGCCCTGGTGATTCCCTGGACCCCCGCCAGCGCAGCCTGCACGGCCTGGCTTTGATTCTGCTCAGGAAGAGCTGAGTTTGGCTCCTTATTGCAGGGCTAGCAGACCCATGTCAGACTGCACGGCGCTCCAACAGCTTACAGCAGCCAGCGAAGGTGCAGGCACGAGGCAGCTCTGCCATCTCCTTTCCGACTCGTCCCACACCACATCCCTCCCAGGTAAGCTGGAGGCAGAAGGGCAGCTGGTGCAGGAGCTCCTGTACCAGTGAGGTGCTCACCTGCGCAAGAAGAATTTGCCTTAGGAAGCCTCTGGCTACAAAGGTCGGTTTGGACTGATTATGTGGCCTTCAGGACAGGAAAGCTCAACCCTGACTATTCTAACTGAACACACTGCACACACATTTATCAAAAGGCTTTATTTACATCTGGGACTTGGGGTTTTTTTTCTCTCTCTCTTTTTTAAGAAAAAGTTGTAGACCTGGAATATCTGAAACTCCTGCTGTGAAGTGGCAACAGCACAGCTGTAACCTGCAGGATTAGGCTGAGGCAGCTGCAGGGACGCGTGACTGGGGAACAGTGACCAGACCTGGAGTGGACAAGGAACAAGAGCAGTTACAGGAACAGGCGCAGCAAGCAGAACGCACACAAGTCAGTGCCACGTTAGCTGAGCTCACAGAACAAAAAGCTGAGGGTAAGAAAAAGAAACTGCGCTAGTAACCCAAAGCCTACTTACACACAGCACCGCTGTGTAGCAATAGAGGACCATCCAGATACTTTGCAGGCCCCTGTGAAGATGAGGGTCTGTGCAGTGCGTGGGGGTACACGGAGCTGCCCCAAACAGCTGCAAGGAACCTCCCAGGTGCTGCAGCTTTTATTCCAAGGCTACTGCTTCTCCAGTCAGCTACCTGGGAGCACAGCAGAGAGCCAGCTAGTTGGAGAAGCAGTGCCCTTAGAAGTAAAAAAAAAAACAGCCGAGCAGCTTGTCTGACATTCAGCAGGTTGCAAAGTACCCAGATGCAATGATTCAGGTCTTACTATACCCAGGGCAGACCGGATCACAACGGTATCTAACCCGACCTAATAGTAGGTCAGCACAACGATACTGGCTGCATTAAGAACAGGTGATGTCACGTGGCAATAACTGGGCCCTTCAGTGGGCTTCGCCGCCCTCATTTCAAGGGTTTCAGCTCCATGGCACGCAGCTCAGGCAGTGAGTCTCAAACCTGCCCTGAATTAGGAAGTGCAACAATTGCTTCTCAGGCGTCTAGGTTTACTTGCCTCTTCTGTGCAGCATGAAACATTTTGCTCTTCTGAAACTTGGCAGAACCTCAAATCACTAATGCCCACATGAAAGAATCCAAGACAGTAACAGATGGTTTTCCATCACTGTCTCCTCTCAGAAGACTTCTTCAGACAAGCTGATGAAGAACAACAGACCTACCAAGATTTCTGCTTTCACCGCTCTACATTTCACCACACTGCGAGATCACTACAGGCAGTTTGGGTTTGTTATTTGGACCAGTTGGTACGTTCTGGGGGTGGGAAACAGAAATTCACAGTTACAATATATAAATACCCAACAAGTCAGCAAAAGTCACCAGCTGCTTTGAGGGTTAAGAGACATCCATGCTAACTGAGCCTCAGGAACATGGCAACCTGCATGTGGACTGTGGATGCCTCCTGACCGCTGCTCTCTCTCATGAGAACAGCTTTGAAACCTTCCGCGAGCCCAGCTGACTCCCCGATATGCAGAGCTGAGACGCACAGGGAAGACCCTGACCCTATGAACAGGAGGGAGCGAACCAAGCAAGGTGCAAAAAAGAAACGTGGGACTTCCATCGATAATCAGTATGTTTCACACCACTTCAGGTTTCTGACTCTAGACTAGTAACAATGTTGCTAATAAAAGCAAACAGTGACAAAATGTCCCATGTTCGTATTGCAGGGGGAGTGACAGACTGGGCTTGGGGGGGACGTGGGGCAGCTCCAGGCGTCAGAGCAGAACCCATCACTCTGCACCTTGAGCATTGCTCTTTGAGAGCCTGTCTTTCCTTCCTCTCATCTGCCCATTACTGTCCCACAAGAGAGATGTGCAGTAATCCTTCAACTGATGCTCTCGAAGGCGCTGCTGATGAGAAACGCTGCAAGGGGAATCTTATCCTACTTATCCTGCCAGGGTTATAATTGCACTTCACCTGTCAAAATGGTTTTCTTAAAAGAGGCAGCGAGAAAGGAATCGTGTTCTACAATGAAGTAGCCTGGCAGCTGTGCCGGGCTTTAAATGGAGCTGCTGTCAGCTCTGCACTTCCTCTCCCATAACTGCATTCTCTGCTGACTGCTTACAACAGTCCCGGAGACAAACTCCGCTGCGGCTCAGCGGGGGGCCCCACTGCCTGCACTCAGGCACCCAGAGAGAGAGCACAACGCTGTCGGGTTCTTCACCTATCCATTCATGTAAACTCACATGTCTGTCAACTAGGCATTTGAAACATGCAGCCACAATTCAGCAGAGGCACATGTATCTGCAGGACTGGGAAGTCCTTTGGAAACATTTTGTTTTCATTATTAAAAGCGCTGACTATCCTTCAATGGACGACCTCTACTAATCTGTCAGCCCCTGAATGTTGCTTCTGTGAGATGTCAATGTATTCTCCCTCATACGCCTGTTCTGAAACGATCAACAGAGCAAGCTTGGTCGATCAAGCTTCCAGAAAGAACTCAAGGCACTGCAGCAAATCCATCAGAACACGTTTCCCACTGGCGTAAAACCACGTGCGTTTCGGAAGCAGCTCTGCGAGATGGATTAAACCATGGCAGAACTGCAAGGAATTCCCTGTCACTACCGCTAAGCACTTTCATACACAAGTGGTGGGAGGGGATGTGAAGCCTTCTGAAGCAATGACTTGGCAGGGCATTCGCAGAGGAATGCGAATTAAACTTACTTCAATTTTTCTCATGACCAGGAGTCCATCGATGATTTTACCTGCAAGGGAAAGAACAGTTTTGTTGTACTTTTCCACCTTTTCTGTGCCCCCAACCTGTCATGAACAATGAAACATTTCCCCAGTTTCTCAGGCTCTTGAGATTACATTTTGTCTGGACACAGCTCTCTCTCCATTCATTATTTTTGCCCCACACATGTAATTACACCACTTGCTAAACTGGGGACCTTGGGATGTGTTATGGATCACTGAGCCCATGAACTCAGCTTCAACCATTCCAGATATGGAGTTAGGGTCTGTCTCTTAGAGTGGCAGTGTTCATCTTTCCCAGAGGGTGGGGCGTGCACAGATGTAGGGACCTTAACTCATACCCCTCTCCCGCTGACTATGAGAAATAGCACAGAATACATCTCCAGCAGGTGCACTGTGTTTGGTTATGTGCAAAAGTTACCAATTTTGATGTTTATGTAGCACCTCCAGGACCTAATAAGGAGCAGGGCCTTGCTGTGAGGATGCAATACACATAGCTCCCCAGCTCCCACCTTCTCTTCCTCTACCAAGCCTCCATTACCCGGCTGATTTATTACTGGTTTCAAAGCAGAAATGAGCTGAAGGCGATTTCTACCCTACTGCAATGTCATTAATGAGACACTACTCACCAAACACAACATGCTTCCCATCTAGCCAGTCACATTTGGAGCATGTGATGAAGAACTGACACCCATTTGTACTTGGACCACTGTTTGCCTAATTTAAAATGCAAACACATGCATATGTTAGTGAACTGAACTTCTCGAGCCTGGAGGAGCCAGGGTACTTCAAACAAGAGTGCTATCATCCCAGCTGGCCTGCACGAGAAGTGTTTATCACAGGAATTAACATCCACCTCCAAAGGGTCGGCTTAGTACCTAGATACTTCACTAAATAGACCGCTGGTCCAGCACGTCAGTCTCTATACTGCCACTTATGCAATTTAAGGCTGCTGGTGATGTTTCTATAAAACAAACCATGGAGCTGAGAGCCAGGAAATAACTGGTAAATCTCAAAAATGATGGGTGGAGGATGCAGAAACCTTTCGAGTCTTACTACCTTGGCTGCCTTACACTTACCATAGACAAGAGTCCAGGAGCAGAGTGTTTGAGTTTGAAGTTTTCATCTGCAAAGGGACCTCGGTATATACTAGCCACCCCGGTGCCATCTCCCTGTGTGAGGAGGGAGGCAATTATCAATCCCATCTCAGGAAAAGCATGTTTTTAAAATAATTCCAACAGAAAAGCACTTTGTTAACCAAAATTAAGGTTGAGGCTGTATTTTCATTTAGAAAAAAACAGCGTTAAGAAGAACACTAGAAATGAAAACATCTGAACTTTGTTGAGCCTGGAAACCAGAAGTCAGCACTCCACCCTAATCCTGCATTTGATCCTCCTCCCCCTTCCTCACGTCAGTTAGTCACAGACCGACCCCCAGGCCAGGTGAAACCAGAGGACAAGCACAGAGACGGCACGAGGGAAGCAGGGAGATTCCAGACCTCCAAGACCCGCCAGATAAAGTTACGGATGAGTTCGGGCTGCACAGGGTGCACGTTCCACCGAAAACAGAAGGCAAGCAGGAAAGGCAAGGATGGCTCTCAGGTTAGAAGAACGAGGGATGACAAGTGAGGGAGGTGCCTGTCAGAGGCTGAAGCTGGCAGAGATGCCGCAGAGTGGGGGCATGGGGGGCTTTGGCATCGCCAGAGTATATTCCATGGGTCTGACCAGGTATTCCCCCGCTTTGCTGAAAGGGCTTCTGGGCTCCAGCCTCCTCCTTCCCCCCCCGTCAATGCCCTCTCGCTCTTTCCTCGTCTTCCATTTACATATCCCCGCTCACTAAGCAACAGGTTCCAAAAATAAGTTAAACGGTTAAATACTGCCCCATGGGAAGAACATCACTCTGCATCTTTAAGGAAAGGAAACGAACAAACTCATAATACTTACATTTACAAAGTCGCCTCCCTGGATCATGAAATCCTTTATCACCCTGAAAAGTAATTAAGAACAAAGTAAACGACTGCTTCTCTGTGAAACATCTTCCCACAAAGTTTAGTATCTCAGAAACGACAGAGAAACAGCCCACACCACGATAAAATGCACCTAGTGACTAGGTGATGGACTCGGCATGGGATGACCTCTGACTTTGGACAAAGGCTGGACAGCGCTGCCTGTGCCCTGGGTGATAAGCACTGAGAAGAATATTCTTTTTATCCGGCAAGTACAAGAGTGGCCCACACTGACCACAGAGGCAGAGTCACCCAAACTGTAGATGCAGGGCAGAGACTTTAGAAAGAAAACACTACTCAGACCTCCTATCCCTCGATGACTATAGGATGCCTCCTACTTTAGGGACTGCTTTCAAAACCGGGCACCAGGCCGCGTCTAGGTCACCGCGCTGTTTTGAACAAGAGGAAATTGACTTACCGGTGGAAAGTGCTCCCCTTGTAACCTATAGGGACACCATCTTTCCTACAGCAAAAGACAAGGACATAGCACTGCAGGGTGCCGCTCATCGCAGCTCAAGACTTCCAGTCGTGCTAGAACGCCGGAGCCCGCGTGCCGGACCGACGGGCCCCCCCGTGCCCGGGACGGCCGTACAGCACCTGGCAGCAACAGCCATTCAGGCAGCACGGGGGTGGGAACAAAGACCATCGGACTTCTCTGCTTTCTGGTCATTACACACCTCAATATGCCGCTTCAAAGGAGCGGTGCGCTGACCCCACGTACCTGAATTCACCCGTGCAGAACTGCCTGGAAAGAGGGGAAAAAGAGAGAGCGCAGCACATGAGTCGCCTGAAAGAGATATTTGAATCCAAACCAAATCACCGCTGCTCTGACTACTTTACTGAAGAGGGACAGAGGGGACTCCCCTTCCGAGCAGCAAATGACACTGCTGACAGGAGGCAGCAGCAACTACGACCTTTCCTCCCCGACGGGCTGTTTCTGGGCATCAGCCTGGATCAGATGTTTGATGCCGAGAATGGAAAGAGCCAAAAACGTGGATTTGGGCATCACCCCCTGGAGACCCGCAGTGAGAAAGGGGGGGTGGGCTCCTGGGGGGCCGCGACGTCCCGTCGAGAAGGGAGCGGCGGGCGCCCTCTCATCAGACAGGCCGACGGGAGACCGAGGCATTCAGCTGCCGCTCCCGCGAGGCACACTTGGGACGGGGCCGCAGAGGTTCGGAGCGACCCCGAGGGACACGG